ATTAATCAGTTTGACCAACTTTTAAAAATTAAAAATTAAAATCGATTTTTTCAATCAATCAATCAATAAATTATTTAAACAATCAAAAATTAAATATGAACGTTTATATTTCATTTATTTATTTATTTATTTTTCAAAGTAAAAGCAGAAGACTTTTTTCTTTTTAAGAAAATAAATAAATAAATGAAAAGGAAGTAAAACGTTTTAGAATAAAAAATTTCGTTTCATTTAAAATTAAAAGGAGAGAGAAAGAGAAAGAGAGAGAGAGAGAGAGAGAGAGAGAGAGAGAGAAGAATAAAAAATCAATTTTTCACGTGTTAAACAATTTTTTTTTCCTTTACCCTTTTCTCTCCCTCCTCTTTCGCCCCCTACTTTAATTATGAGGAAAAAAAATAAGAAAAAGACAGAGAAAGAGATATAATATCGAATGTGAGAGAGAGAGAGAGAGAGAGTGAAACAAATTTTTCTTTTAAATAAAATTGAGAAGGTAAAAAGAGACGATGGGGGAAGTAGAAGGGAGAGGGGGAGAAAATTCAAAAGATGCCAAGAAAATAGATGAACATCATTTCGAACTAGATGAGATAAAAAAGAAGTGGAAGAAGAAGAAGTGATAGAAGTGGAAAAAGAAAAAAGAAGAAAAAAAAATGGCCGGTTAAAAGAAGAATAAGGAAAAAAAAGAAAATATCTGACATTTAACTGATATGCCAACTTTTCGCCCCATTTCCTTTCATTTTTTTTTTTTTGCTGTTGGACGTTTTTGCGATAGGGTTTTTTTCGAACCTCCCCTCATTTTCCTCTCCCTCCTCTTCCCCTTCTTCTCCCCAAGTGACAGTTTAGTGAAAAATAATGAAACTTCTCTCGAAACCTTTTTTTTTTTTTTTTTTTACAAAATCGATAAATCAAATTTTTGTTTTGCTTTTTTTTTATATTATGAAATCGATACTTTTGTCATCCCCCTCCCGGAGGGGAGGGGGAGGGGGTCAAATTTAAAATATAAGAAATAATTAATAACGCCAATAGGAAAATGGGGGGCGAGGAGGAAGAGGAAGAGAAAAAAATTCTGTCGAGAATATAAACTGTTTACACCTGTAAAATTTTTTTTTGGATACGACGGAAAAATCAAAAAAACAGGAAAACAAAAAGGGAGAGAGGAGGTAGAGGGAGAGAGGGAAAGGGGAAACACGTTTCCAAAATACGAAAACAAATTCTAGAAAAAAAAAAAAAAACTAAAGAGAAAAATAGATAAAAAAAAATAAACCTGACAAACGATTTTTTTTTTTATTTTCACGCGCGTCGCAAATATAAAACGGAAAATGATTAAATTTTTTTTTTTTTGGTACCGGAAGTTCCTTTTTTCTTTACTATCCAATCTATGAATCAAAAAAAAAAAAAAAAAACTTTAAACATTTCCGTTCGATTTTTTTTTTAGGTCGTTCATGATGATAAAACGATTCAATTTTCCAAAAAAAAAAAAAAATTCAATATCAGATTTTTTTCTTTCTCTCCCTTTTCTCCCCCCCCCCGTTAAAAAAAATGGAAAAGGTCTCTCGACTGTAACGTCGTGGCATTAGACACACGATACGAATTTTAAAATCTTAACCACCTTAAGAGTTATTTATTTAGTTATTTACGAACGAACGAAAAACGTTAAACGTTTTATATTTTATAAATAATTTATTAAATAATAATAATAATAATAATGATGATAATAATAATAATAATAATAATAATAATAATAAATCAACGATCGCATCGTGATGATAAGAATAATGAAATGATAAGAAACGTCGAGTATGGTTAACATTCCTACCCGGATGGATTTTCCTCCTCATCCCGATGACTTCACGAATGTCACAACAGGAATACCGTTCAGGAATATGACGTAGAAGGGGAAAGAGAGAGAGAAACAGACAAACAAACATCGTATATCGATGGGGTAGAGGGAACGTGGAATTAACAACTACACTTTATCGAAAAATGTGTAATGATTATAATAATAATAAATTCATATAAAAACGAAACGAAAAAAAATTTTTTTCTTTTTCTTATCCGCCATTTTAAGTCTAATAAACAAAAAAATAAGAGAAAGAAAAAAAAAATTTTCCAGGTTTTCATTTTTTTTTGTTTATTATTATTATTATCATTATCATTATTATTATTATTTTAATTTACTGATAAAAGTCGTTTTAAACTTTTCGAAAGAAACTTCTTCGGATTATATTTTATCATTTTCTTAACTAAAAAAAAAAAAAAAAGAAAAAGAAAATTTTCATATTTTTCATTTATTATTTCCATGGATTTTTTTTTTATTTTTCTTTCGGTTTTGATATTGATACTCCCCTCCCCTCCTCCCCATTTTCCTTCTATCCCCCTTCCCTCTTCATATCCCCCCCTTCTCACTGTTTCTACTACCACTACGCTACTATTACTATTCTTATTAATCATTATTGATATTAACCCAAAAAAAAAAAAAAAAATTATTTCTTCATTACTTTTCGCAAGGATTATAAACCTCTCTTTCTCCCTCTCTCTCTCTCTCTCTCTCCCTACCTCTCTCTCTCTCACTCTTTATCTCCCTCCAGCTCTCTCTCTCATTCTTACAGTTTATTTATATTTATTTCCTTTTTCACCTTTTTTTTTTTTTATTTTTACATTCTCCAGAGAATTTTTTAGACAATCCTTTTCCTTTCTTTCTCTCTCTCTCAAACTTTTATTTATTTTAATTAAGAAAATTAATAAATTTATTTACTTTTTTCTTCTTCTGACACTTTAAAAATAGAAATTTTAAGGGGGGTAAGGAGCGGGGAGGGGAGGCGAAATGAGGGAGAAAGAAAAAGCTGGCGCGCGCACGAAAAAATCAAAAAAAAAAATTTTAATCCCGACATTATTATTATAATTATTATTATTACCGCCATTATTTTTTTATTTGAATCTTTACCATTTCGCAATTTTCTTTTTACTGGCAAAACAATCGACCAATGAGAGAAAAGTAATTTTTAATCATCTTTTTTCTCATTGGTCAACGTCATCACGATCCGAATTCATCATTTAAACGAATCCCGTATTATTAATAAATATATTTATATATAAATAAATTACGAAAAAATTTACATAAAATTTTCACGAGTAAATATTAATGTTATGACGTCATTTATTAAAAGAAAGAGTGAGTAAGAGTGAGAGAGAGAGAGAGAAAATAAAAAGAAAATCGTTTAAATTAAATTAAATTAAAATGAAAAAAAAAAAAAAAATATCCTACCTTCGATTATTTGAGGCCGAGGCTTAAGTGTTGCGTCTGGAATAAATAAATACATTATTATTATTATTATTATTATTATTATTATTATTATTATTATTATTATTATTATTATTATTATTATTATTATTATTATTATTATTATTATTACTATTAAAATCGATTTATTATGAAATTTAAGTTATGATGATGATGATGACGACGATGATGAATGAAAATAATGAAAATCAATTTATATTTTATTTAATTTTATTATTATTATTATTTATTTATTTTCTTTTTTCAGAGCGATACAATACAAAAGAAAAGAAAAGAAAAGAGAAAAAAGAAAATTCGATAAAATCGTGTTATCGAAGTAACAAAAAAGAAAAAAAGAAAAGAAAGTAAAATAAATTAAGATAATTAATTTTTTTTTAATAGAATACGATAGTTAAAACAATAAGAAGATTATATTGTCGCAAAAATTCAATAAAGTTTTCTTTTTCTTTCCTTTTTTTTTTTTTTTTTTTTTATAAAAAGTTAAAATGGAAAGATGGAAAGAACAAAAGAAAAAAAATAAAGAAAAAGAAAAAGAGAGAGAGAGTGAGTGAGTGAAAAAAAAAATTATAATTAAAACGTGAAAGAAAAAGAAAGGTAAAAAAAAAAAAAAAAACTGTGAGGAGTTATCGAGGGTGGTGGGTGGGAGGAGGGAAAAATGTCGAAGGTTTACGAAACACTAAAAAAAATAAAACAAAGAAGGTAACACGTTTTTTTCCCTCCCTCCTTCCTTCCCCTTTTTCTTCTTCTTCCACTTTCCACTTTTTTTTATTTAAACAAAAAAAAAATCTTTTTCAAAATTTTACCTTATTTCGATCATTTCCCTTTCCTCCCCCTCCCGTTATTTTATTTAAAAATATATCCCGGTTATGAGAAAACGTGGAAAAGAGAGAGAGAAAGAGAGAGGAAAAGGGCAAAAGGTTAAAAATTTCCAACCAATTTTAAATCCTTTCATCGATTTTTCCCCAACCTCCCTCCCGCCACAAAGTATAAAAACCCGCGCGCGAGGAGGGAAAAACTGAAAAAGCGGAGGGAAAAGCAGGGAAAAATTAAAAACAGGTAATAAATTTCCCCGTCGGTCGGTCGGTCGGTCCGTCCGTCGGGTCATCGTATGAATGAATGAATGAACGCACTTTCATAGTTTTATCACGAAGATAAAATATTTGAAATAACGGTCATTCCATTTAAACGTATTCGAATATTTGAAAAATTTATTTTATCATTTAAATTATTTTCAAAAACTCTGTCTCCGCCATATTTGACAAAACAAACAAAATTAAATAATAATAATAAATAAATAATTTGTTATACTTACAATTTAAATAAAGAAGTACGACAGACACGCAAACAAAAAGTATTATAAGAAGTATTAGTAAGAAAAACAAAAGAGGAGGTTTGCACATTCCAGAATCTTCGACGGCATCGATCGGAGTTTCGGATGTTGATGATGAAGATTGCGATGACGTACATAGGCACAAACCCGAAAGACAACAACAACCGTCAGAGGATTCATCATCCTGATTATTGTGATCCGTGTAGGTTCCATTTCTTTTTTGCGAGTAGCAATAACAACAACAACAACAACAAAATGAATGGATTTATTAAAGATTTAAAAAAAAAAAGAAACAACCAAACAAACAAACAAAAATTATTATTATTATTCACGAAACTTCTCCTTTTTTTTTTAAATCTTTAAAAAAAAATCCATTTACCTAAGAACGGTGTTGACACCGTTTCCGGTTGCGTTTATATTAACAACAACGTTTGGAACATTGTCGGTTGTGGTTGTTGTAGTCGTGGTACGACAATTTTGAAATCCTCCATCGTCATAACAACCCTGATAAGCTCCGTATGTGGTGTTTGTTATAATAACATTTTTAGATTGTTTTTTAATACCGTCATTATTATTATCTAGACGATTATTTCCGGTTGTTGTTGTTGTTGTTGTTACTACATCTTCGTCGTTTTCATTCGTTGTTCTTTCGTACATTTGTAAACGTTTATCATTCTTTTGTTTGTAGTCCGGTTGTTGCGTTGTGAATGATGGTGGTAATGAAGATTTAAAATTATTTTCTTTCACCTCATCGTACGACGATAAATTTCCATCACCGTAACATATTTCACGTCTATATTCCTGTTTTCTTCTGTCGTAATTTCTAGGTACGCTCGAATAAAACCTTTTTTTTGCCGGGGAAAAAAAAAACCCGCAAAATTTAAAAAAATTTATTATTGAAATTTAAAAAAGGAAGGATTTGTCACGCTTTTCTTTTTTGAAATTTATACTCTAATACCGGATACTACTATAAGATTTTCCGGGGAAGGACAAGGGAGTAAAGGAAATTAAGCCTCCCCTGATATTTTCGACAATTTTTTTTGAGGGGGTGAGGGCGGAAACTCAATGACCTTGAAACCCGTTTTAAAAAATTTTTCCAAAACAAAAATGATTCTGATGATGATGATAATAAAACGAGGAGGGGCTTTTTTTAAACGGGGAGGTGGGTAAACGAAATAGAGAGAGAGAAAAAGAGAGAGAGAAAGAGAGAGCGGGAATCGAGTGGCGATAAAGAAAAAAATAAAAATAAAAAGTCGTAAATTTTAATTTATCGCCGAGTTTGAATTTGTTTTTTTTTTTTTTTTTAACGGTCGGGTAAAAAAAAAAAGCGGTCGTCGTGGCAGGAGAGAAAAAACGACAGAGATTGAAAAAATTAAATAAATAACACTATACGGATAAACTCTATGGGAAATAACAATAATAATAATAATAATTTCGTTGAGTATTAGTAGTAGTTAGTCATTCGTATAAAAAAAAAAAAATTTTTTTCTCACGCGCGCCGCCATATTTGTTTTTTTTTTTTTTCATTTCCACCTGCAATTATCGCTGGACAAATATTTTCTTTTTAAAAAAAGTGAATTTAAGGCGGTGCCTGAATAAAAATTTATAAGTATATATACCTGAAAGGTATAATTACCGTTATGGAAAAATTTTTTTTTTTTTTTTTTTTTCAAACGATTAATTTAACCGTCATCAGTTTCTCGTATCTGACAATAACTATTATTATTATTATTATTATTATTATTATTACCTCGAAGGAGAAAAAAATATTTATTGCGTGACAAATCAAAATCAATAAAAAAAAAAAAATTATCGATTTCCAATTGTTCCGTTAATCAAAAAAAAAAAATTCACAAAGGAATAATGAAAAAAAAAACGCTGTCGTTTTCTTTTTTTGTTGTTGTTGTTGTCGGTTGTTGTTATCGGTTGTTGGCGGTTGTTGGTTCTAAGATATTTGATTACCTATGATGTCTTTGAAAGCTAAATTGATCATCGGAATATCCGACATTTTGTGGCCGAATGATGACGTTTGATGATGACGTTTTATGTCTACCGCCATCACCGCCGTATAAATCCGTATCGCTTATGTATTCGTTACTCCTACAACGATACTCGTATCCTCCTCCTCCTCGTCCTCCGGATTGGTATCTATTATGGGTGTCCATTTCATGATTAGTAATATCACTCCCCTCTCCCCGTTTTTCCCTTTTTTTTCGTTCTTTTTGTCGTTTGTTATCACTTTACATTCAACATACCTGAAACGAAACAAAAGAAAAAATTAATAAAAAAATTATCATTAATATTAATATTATTATTATTATTATTGATAAAATCAATTCGCGTTAAGAATATATGAAGGTTGATAAGAGGTCGATGACCTTATTAAAATAAATGTCAAACAATTGTGTAAATAAAGATACCAAAATTTTTTTTTTGTTTTAAATCAACATAAATATTTTTGTTATAAAAAAAAAAAAAATTCCAGCGAAAGTGAAAGAGAGAGAAAAGAAAAAGATCTTTATCCAAAGATCAAATAGTGTAGAAAAAAGGTCGGATTTATAAAAAAAAAAAGGAAGAAAAAAGGAAGGAAAAAAAGGTAGATAAAAAATAAAATAAAAGGTTTCACAACTCTCTAAAGACTTTTAAAAACTCAATGAAAAGGAAAAGTATGCCAAGGTTTGAACTATTCAAACCTTTTAAAGGACTTCCAGGGATGGAAAAAAAAAAAAAATTCTGGACAAATTCCAGGAGGAGTAGGAAGGGAGAAGAAGAAGGAGTAAGAAAATTTTTTTTTTTTCAAACTCATTGAAACGAACGAACGAAGAAAATCATCGAAATGAAAAAAAACTATAATAAAAAATTATGTATGTGCGTAAATATAAAAAAAAATTTTTTTTTTATTTTCCTTTTTTTCCCTTTCCTTTGACTCCTTTCCTTTCCACCTACCCTCTTCCCCTCTCCCTTATCGTTCTTGTCAACGTCATCGTCGTGTCGTATAACGAACGAATTTTAATTTTAATTTTTTTTTATAAAATTTTATTTTCGTCTAGAAAAAGGTAAAACGTAAAAGGAAAAAAAACAAAACAAAACAACATCTAATGCCACGTTTTAATTTTTAAAAAAAAAATCAATAAATCAATATGTCCGCGTTTTACGTGAGTGAGTGCGTGCGTGCGTTTACGAAATTTATTTAACGAAAATTAGTTTTTGTGACAAATTTCATATTAACCCCCCACTTCCTCCCATCCGTCCGTTCGCCCGTTTGCCCCCTCTCCTTCCGCCGAATCACGTTTTTGTCATAACAATTTAATTTTAAATAAAATTTATTACAGATTATGAACGTGGTTAAAGAATTTTTTTTTTTTTTATTCAAATAACAAAAATTTCAGGCATGAACCTGCCTGATATTTTCATACATTTTTTATTTACGCATTAAGAGAGAGAGACAGAGAAAGTTATCTACGTTATCATCATTATTATCATCATTACAATAAATATTAAAACAAATCACGTGGGAGCTTTATAAACATAAAAAAAACATTATATATTTTGTTTGTTTGTTTAAAAACCTGTTCGAACAATCAAATTATTTTTTCGTTATTAATGTTTTTTTTTTTATAGATATTTTGTTGTAAATATTCCATGGAAAATTATTATTATTATTAAAGAACGGATTTTGCAGGTCGGTCGAATAAAGTCCCAAGTCACGTGTTTTCCTTTTTTTTTCCTTTTTTAAAATTTACTTAAAAAAAACGAAAAAGAAAACACAAAAAGGTTAGTAGTAAGGTTAAAAAATAAACTTTTCGACACAAACGTAATTTTTAAATCTTTGTATAACAAAAAAATTCTTATTTTTCGTCGTCTGCTACTATGGAAAAAAAAGGAAAATGATGATGATAATAAATACTATTAAATCTTTTTAAATCCCCGATGAAAAAAATTTTTTTTTTTTACTTTGGAAATGAAATGGCGTGCAAAAGTGAAAAGAAAAAAAAGAAAAAAAAGTTTTAAATAAAAAGAGAAAGAGAGAGAGATAGTTTAAAAAAAGAAGATGAAAAAAATTTAAATAATCAAAATGGCGGCCGATAACATATCCAATTTATTTATTTAATTAATTAAAAAAATTACGATCCGAGTGTGAGGGAAAATTTCAAATAAATAAAAAAAAACGAATTTTTCCGGGTCGGGGAAAAATTTCCCCGACGATGTCGACGCCGACGGGGAAATTTCCCTCTCGAATTTTTATTTATTTAATTTTTCCGTTTTTTTTTTTTATGCGAAAACCGACGGGAGTAAGAAACCGACGTTTTTCTCTCTCTCTCTCTCTTTTTTACTTTTTTCTTCTCTCTCTCACTCACTCTTTCTGTCTCTCTCTTTCTCTCTCTCTTTTTTTCTGAATATTAAAATTAAGTAAGATGATAATAATAAATCACGCATTTACTTATACTTTATAGTCCATATAATATTTTTTAATACCTCGCTCAGGTAAAAGTATTAAGAACGCATTAATAATAATAATGATGATAATGATAATTTTTTTTTCTTAAAACTATTGAGTTATTATATTAAACTTATGCGGGTCGCACTTCTAGAGATTTATCGAGTCGCACTTTTTCTAAATAATTCCAGACGTCACAAGAAAGAAAAAAAAAAAAAACCTTTACGAAAGCCAAAGTTTTTTTATTTATTTATTTATTTCTTACGAGTTCTACTTCTAGGAGTTGAATTAAAGTTAGTCAGACACGGTTTCCTTATTTGTTGAAAGTCATTTCCGGTTGTTTTTTTACATTTTCGTTTCGCGTATAAAAACCCAGAGAGAGAGAGAGAGAGAAATCGCAGGTGTTCGATTTATTTATTTATTTATTTTTTCTTTTTAATTTTTTCTAACCTTATAAGGGGAGGAAGAAAGAGAAAGGCGCGCGCACACACACACATTCAGGTACGGACGCTTCAATAAATGAAACGAACCTAATAACGATAATGATAATCATGGCGATGATGATGATGTTAATGAGTAGTTATGGAATTTTATCGTTTTCGATTCGTTTTTTTTTTTAATTTACGAATGGAAGAATTTCCCGTTTTTTCTTTAACCATTTCCGGTTTAAAATTATCAACTGTAAAAGATGAAAAATGTCAACCGAAAAAAAAAAAAAAATGGTGACTTGTCGTGAATGAAAACAATTCATTTTTTTCTGCTTTGTACTTTGTCAAAGGAATCCAACAAGAAAAAAATTATAATAATAATAATTTTCCTAAAAAAAACGACCGGAAATATTAAATCACACTTTGCATTTCCGTTTATAAAGTGCTAATCTCGTTATTAATAATAATAATAATAAATTTTTTTTTTTTTCCTCACGTTACTAATTAAAAATTTTTTTTTTTTTTAATAAACGCACTGAATGAATTAAGGAATGAATGAACGAACGAGTGAATGTTTTAGTCGTGACGTCATATTATTATTATTATCATTAAAGTTCGTTTTGGTCTTTTATTAAGGGAGCAAAGTAACATTAAAGTTAATAAGTTAATAAATAAATAAATAAAAATTTTTTTTCGAGGGGTTTTTTTTCGTTATTTTTCGAAACGAAATTGAATTTTGGAAGAAAAAAGAGAGAGAGGGAGATAGAGAGATAGAGAAAGGTAATGAAAGACGTAGAAAAAAGAAGAGAGAAAGAGAAAGACAAAAAGAGAGAGAGAAAATTTTTTATTTTAACCCACATTTCCTATTTCTTTTTTTCTTTAACCACATTTCACACACCCTCTTTCTCTCCCCTCTCTCTTTTTTCACACCTTTTTTCATCTCTCTCTCTCTTTCTCTCACACAGTTTTTTTTTCCATTTACAATTTTATTATAATTTTAAAAAGATGAGATGATTTACTATCCGCTTCGCTGATTTTGATATTTTTTTTTTTTTTTTTTTTTAAGAAAAATTTTCACTGTCATAAGTACAAATTTTTTTTTCCACACCATCCGACATTTTTTTTTTGTTTGTGTGGCTTTTATATGCGACTAAAACTCCGACGTGTAAATAGACAAAAAAAAAATTTAAATTTATTACTTTAAACGTTAGCGTAACGTTCAGTAAATCATTTAAAACGTTATCGTACCGTATCCAACAAC